TGTGAACGAAATTGTGAACGCTCTCTCGCAATTGTGAACGCTCTCGCAATTGTGAACGCTCCCTCGCAATTGTGAACGCTCTCCTGCAATTGTGAACGCTCTAATTGTGAACGCTCCCTCGCAATTGTGAACGCTCTCCTGCAATTGTGAACGCTCCCTCGCAATTGTGAACGCTCCCTCGCAATTGTGAACGCTCTCCTGCAATTGTGAACGCTCTCTCGCAATTGTGAACGCTCCCTCGCAATTGTGAACGCTCTCCTGCAATTGTGAACGCTCTCTCGCAATTGTGAACGCTCCCTCGCAATTGTGAACGCTCTCTCGCAATTGTGAACGCTCTCTTGCAATTGTGAACGCTCCCTCGCAATTGTGAACGCTCCCTCGCAATTGTGAACGCTCCCTCGCAATTGTGAACGCTCTCCTGCAATTGTGAACGCTCTCTCGCAATTGTGAACGCTCCCTCGCAATTGTGAACGCTCCCTCACAATTGTGAACGCTCCCTCGCAATTGTGAACGCTCCCTCGCAATTGTGAACGCTCCCTCGCAATTGTGAACGCTCTCTTGCAATTGTGAACGCTCTCTCGCAATTGTGAACGCTCTCTTGCAATTGTGAACGCTCTCTTGCAATTGTGAACGCTCTCTCGCAATTGTGAACGCTCTCTCGCAATTGTGAACGCTCTCTTGCAATTGTGAACGCTCTCTTGCAATTGTGAACGCTCTCTCGCAATTGTGAACGCTCTCTAGCAATTGTGAACGCTCTCTAGCAATTGTGAACGCTCTCTCGCAATTGTGAACGCTCTCTAGCAATTGTGAACGCTCTCTCGCAATTGTGAACGCTCTCTCGCAATTGTGAACGCTCTCTGGCAATTGTGAACGCTCTCTAGCAATTGTGAACGCTCTCTCGCAATTGTGAACGCTCCCTAGCAATTGTGAACGCTCCCTCGCAATTGTGAACGCTCTCTCGCAATTGTGAACGCTCTCTCAATTGCAATTGTGAACGCTCTCTTGTGCAATTGTGAACGCTCTCTCGCAATTGTGAACGCTCCCTCGCAATTGTGAACGCTCCCTCGCAATTGTGAACGCTCTCTTGCAATTGTGAACGCTCCCTCGCAATTGTGAACGCTCTCTCGCAATTGTGAACGCTCTCTTGCAATTGTGAACGCTCCCTCGCAATTGTGAACGCTCTCTCGCAATTGTGAACAATTGTGAACGCTCTCTCGCAATTGTGAACGCTCTCTCGCAATTGTGAACGCTCTCTGCAATTGTGAACGCTCCCTCGCAATTGTGAACGCTCCCTCGCAATTGTGAACGCCTCTAGCAATTGTGAACGCTCTCTTGCAATTGTGAACGCTCTCTTGCAATTGTGAACGCTCTCTTGCAATTGTGAACGCTCTCTCGCAATTGTGAACGCTCTCTTGCAATTGTGAACGCTCTCTTGCAATTGTGAACGCTCTCTCGCAATTGTGAACGCTCTCTGCAATTGTGAACAATTGTGAACGCTCTCTCGCAATTGTGAACGCTCTCTCGCAATTGTGAACGCTCTCTCGCAATTGTGAACGCTCTCTCGCAATTGTGAACGCTCTCTAGCAATTGTGAACGCTCTCTCGCAATTGTGAACGCTCCCTAGCAATTGTGAACGCTCCCTCGCAATTGTGAACGCTCTCTCGCAATTGTGAACGCTCTCTGGCAATTGTGAACGCTTTATGGCAATTGTGAACGCTCTCTAGCAATTGTGAACGCTCTCTAGCAATTGTGAACGCTCTCTCGCAATTGTGAACGCTCTCTCGCAATTGTGAACGCTCTCTGGCAATTGTGAACGCTTTCTAGCAATTGTGAACGCTCTCTCGCAATTGTGAACGCTCTCTTGCAATTGTGAACGCTCTCTAGCAATTGTGAACGCTCCCTCGCAATTGTGAACGCTCTCTGGCAATTGTGAACGCTCTCTGGCAATTGTGAACGCTCTCTCGCAATTGTGAACGCTCTCTCGCAATTGTGAACGCTCTCTGGCAATTGTGAACGCTCTCTCGCAATTGTGAACGCTCTATAGCAAATTTGAACACCCGAATGCGTTTTTGAAGTTGTGACCTCCCTAATGCGTTCGTTCATTTGTGAGCGTTCTAATGCGTTCTCGTTACCTTGTGTTCACGTTGCAAACTGCTTCAGTACTGCGGTCAGTGCTTGCAATGGTCCTCTTATGCAATGCCAAATGCTGAATTTCCTATAATTCAGGAAATTTCGTAATTTCCTATATCAATTTAGTAATTGCAAGCTCAATTTAATCTCGTTAAATTCACAAAGATTTTTCCTTGCAACATTTAGCATTGTTGTATCCTGCCTCGCACTCGAAATATTGTAGATTTATTTGTCTAATGTATTTTTTGTAATACACTAATACAATTAATGATACTCATGTGTAGTAATATCAAAGTTAGTTAGATATCATTTTGTTAGTTAACAAGATGATATAACTAACATGATATTAATTTAAATTTTTTTGTTTAAATTTATTGTTTTGTTTAAAGTTAATTTGATCAAACTTACATTTTAAACTTACATAAGTTATTTTAAGCATTATATTATTAAATATTTAAATTAAATTAAAATTATTTTTTATTATTTTTAATTTATTATTTATATAATATAACGGGTATTTTAAGCAATATTTTTGAGTTATTTATAATGATTTTATTACTATAAAATCATTTTTTGATTTGAAACATTTTTTGAAAATTTGATTTGATTTTGAAACCTGATTTTTATACTAATATTGTTGACGGTAATTTGCCGCAACCCGTTCTCGCACTTTCTTATAGTCAATATTGACTTATTAAATAAGTGCATATGTGACATACTAATTGTGAATATTTTAGTTTGCCTTGAAAAGCTTCATAGAAAACACCGACCTTACCTAACCTTCTTAGTATGTTAAGATAAGCATCTTATTACTTCGTAATTACAATTATTACTTAACCTATTATAGGTATAGGTAATTTGTTGAGAGCACGACGGAAATTCTACCACCATTCATGGCCTTTAGTGAGGTTAGTTTGTTAGTTTAATTGTTATTTTTGGTGAGGAGGAGAATATCTACACTGTGGAAGGGGCAGGACACAAGCACTGCTACACTGTGCAACAAGCACTGCTACACTGTGCAACAAGCACTGCTACACTGTGCAACAAGCACTGCTACACTGTGCAACATGCACTGCTACACTGTGCAACATGCACTGCTACACTGTGCAACAAGCACTGCTACACTGTGCAACATGCACTGCTACACTGTGCAACAAGCACTGCTACACTGTGCAACAAGCACTGCTACACTGTGCAACAAGCACTGCTACACTGTGCACTGCTACACTGTGCAACAAGCACTGCTACACTGTGCAACATGCACTGCTACACTGTGCAACAAGCACTGCTACACTGTGCAACAAGCACTGCTACACTGTACAACAAGCAGACACAAGCACTGCTACACTGTGCAACAAGCACTGCTACACTGTGCAACATGCACTGCTACACTGTGCAACATGCACTGCTACACTGTGCAACAAGCACTGCTACACTGTGCAACAACTGCACACTGTGCAACAAGCACTACATTGTGCAACAAGCACTGCTACACTGTGCAACAAGCACTGCTACACTGTGCAACAAGCACTGCTACACTGTGCAACAAGCACTGCTACACTGTGCAACAAGCACTGTTACACTGTGCACAAGCACTGCTACACTGTGCAACATGCACTGCTACACTGTGCAACAAGCACTGCTACACTGTGCAACAAGCACTGCTACACTGTGCAACAAGCACTGCTACACTGTGCAACATGCACTGCTACACTGTGCAACAAGCACTGCTACACTGTGCAACAAGCACGTCTACACTGTGCAACAAGCACTGCTACACTGTGCAACAAGCACTGCTACACTGTGCAACAAGCACTGCTACACTGTGCAACAAGCACTGCTACACTGTGCAACAAGCACTGCTACACTGTGCAACAAGCACTGCTACACTGTGCAACATGCACTGCTACACTGTGCAACAAGCACTGCTACACTGTACAACAAGCAGACACAAGCACTGCTACACTGTGCAACAAGCACTGCTACACTGTACAACAAGCAGACACAAGCACTGCTACACTGTGCAACAAGCACTGCTACACTGTGCAACAAGCACTGCTACACTGTGCAACAAGCACTGCTACACTGTGCAACAAGCACTGCTACACTGTGCAACAAGCACTGCTACACTGTGCAACAAGCACTGCTACACTGTGCAACATGCACTGCTACACTGTGCAACAAGCACTGCTACACTGTGCAACAAGCACTGCTACACTGTGCAACATGCACTGCTACACTGTGCAACAAGCACTGCTACACTGTGCAACAAGCACTGCTACACTGTGCAACATGCACTGCTACACTGTGCAACAAGCACTGCTACACTGTACAACAAGCAGACACAAGCACTGCTACACTGTGCAACAAGCACTGCTACACTGTGCAACAAGCACTGCTACACTGTGCAACAAGCACTGCTACACAACAAGCACTGCTACACTGTGCAACAAGCACTGCTACACTGTGCAACATGCACTGCTACACTGTGCAACAAGCACTGCTACACTGTGCAACAAGCACTGCTACACTGCAACATGCACTGCTACACTGTGCAACAAGCACTGCTACACTGTGCAACAAGCACTGCTACACTGTGCAACAAGCACTGCTACACTGTGCAACAAGCACTGCTACACTGTGCAACACAAGCACTGCTACACTGTGCAACAAGCACTGCTACACTGTGCAACAAGCACTGCTACACAACAAGCACTGCTACACTGTGCAACAAGCACTGCTACACTGTGCAACAAGCACTGCTACACTGTGCAACAAGCACTGCTACACTGTGCAACAAGCACTGCTACACTGTGCAACAAGCACTGCTACACTGTGCAACAAGCACTGCTACACTGTGCAACAAGCACTGCTACACTGTGCAACAAGCACTGCTACACTGTGCAACATGCACTGCTACACTGTGCAACAAGCACTGCTACACTGTGCAACAAGCACTGCTACACTGTGCAACAAGCACTGCTACACTGTGCAACAAGCACTGCTACACTGTGCAACAAGCACTGCTACACTGTGCAACAAGCACTGCTACACTGTGCAACAAGCACTGCTACACTGTGCAACAAGCACTGCTACACTGTGCAACAAGCACTGCTACACTGTGCACTGCTACACTGCACTGCTACACTGTGCAACAAGCACTGCTACACTGTGCAACAAGCACTGCTACACTGTGCACTGCACACTGTGCAACAAGCACTGCTACACTGTGCAACAAGCACTGCTACACTGTGCAACAAGCACTGCTACACTGTGCAACAAGCACTGCTACACTGTGCAACAAGCACTGCTACACTGTGCAACAAGCACTGCTACACTGTGCAACAAGCACTGCTACACTGTACAACAAGCACTGCTACACTGTGCAACAAGCACTGCTACACTGTGCAACAAGCACTGCTACACTGTGCAACAAGCACTGCTACACTGTGCACTGCTACACTGTGCAACAAGCACTGCTACACTGTGCAACAAGCACTGCTACACTGTGCAACAAGCACTGCTACACTGTGCAACAAGCACTGCTACACTGTGCAACAAGCACTGCTACACTGTACAACAAGCACACAAGCACTGCTACACTGTGCAACAAGCACTGCTACACTGTGCAACAAGCACTGCTACACTGTGCAACAAGCACTGCTACACTGTGCACAAGCACTGCTACACTGTACACAAGCACTGCTACACTGTGCAACAAGCACTGCTACACTGTACAACAAGCACTGCTACACTGTGCAACAACAAGCACAAGCACTGCTACACTGTACAACAAGCACTGCTACACTGTGTAACAAGCACTGCTACACTGTGCAACAAGCACTGCTACACTGTGCAACAAGCACTGCTACACTGTGCAACAAGCACTGCTACACTGTGCAACAAGCACTGCTACACTGTGCAACAAGCACTGCTACACTGTGCAACAAGCACTGCTACACTGTACAACAAGCACTGCTACACTGTGCAACAAGCACTGCTACACTGTACAACAAGCAACAAGCACTGCTACACTGTGCAACAAGCACTGCTACACTGCAACAAGCAGACACAAGCACTGCTACACTGTGCAACAAGCACTGCTACACTGTGCAACAAGCACTGCTACACTGTGCAACAAGCACTGCTACACTGTACAACAAGCACTGCTACACTGTGCAACAAGCACTGCTACACTGTGCAACAAGCACTGCTACACTGCAACACTGTGCAACAAGCACTGCTACACTGTGCAACATGCACTGCTACACTGTACAACAAGCAGACACAAGCACTGCTACACTGTGCAACAAGCACTGCTACACTGCAACATGCACTGCTACACTGTACAACAAGCACTGCTACACAAACAAGCACTGCTACACTGTGCAACAAGCAGACACAAGCACTGCTACACTGTACAACAAGCACTGCTACACTGTGCAACAAGCACTGCTACACTGTGCAACAAGCACTGCTACACTGTGCAACAAGCACTGCTACACTGTGCAACAAGCACTGCTACACTGTGCAACAAGCACTGCTACACTGTGCAACAAGCACTGCTACACTGTGCAACAAGCACTGCTACACTGTACAACAAGCACTGCTACACTGTGCAACAAGCACTGCTACACTGTGCAACAAGCACTGCTACACTGTGCAACAAGCACTGCTACACTGTACAACAAGCAGACACAAGCACTGCTACACTGTGCAACAAGCACTGCTACACTGTGCAACATGCACTGCTACACTGTACAACAAGCACTGCTACACTGTGCAACAAGCACTGCTACACTGTGCAACAAGCAGACACAAGCACTGCTACACTGTACAACAAGCACTGCTACACTGTGCAACAAGCAGACACAAGCACTGCTACACTGTACAACAAGCACTGCTACACTGTGCAACAAGCACTGCTACACTGTGCAACAAGCACTGCTACACTGTACAACAAGCACTGCTACACTGTGCAACAAGCACTGCTACACTGTGCAACAAGCACTGCTACACTGTGCAACAAGCACTGCTACACTGTACAACAAGCACTGCTACACTGTGCAACAAGCACTGCTACACTGTGCAACAAGCACTGCTACACTGTACAACAAGCACTGCTACACTGTGCAACAAGCACTGCTACACTGTGCAACAAGCACTGCTACACTGTACAACAAGCACTGCTACACTGTACAACAAGCACTGCTACACTGTGCAACAAGCACTGCTACACTGTGCAACAAGCACTGCTACACTGTGCAACAAGCACTGCTACACTGTGCAACAAGCACTGCTACACTGTGCAACAAGCACTGCTACACTGTGCAACAAGCAGACACAAGCACTGCTACACTGTGCAACAAGCACTGCTACACTGTACAACAAGCACTGCTACACTGTGCAACAAGCAGACACAAGCACTGCTACACTGTGCAACAAGCACTGCTACACTGTACAACAAGCACTGCTACACTGTGCAACAAGCACTGCTACACTGTGCAACAAGCACTGCTACACTGTACAACAAGCACTGCTACACTGTACAACAAGCACTGCTACACTGTACAACAAGCACTGCTACACTGTGCAACAAGCACTGCTACACTGTACAACAAGCACTGCTACACTGTGCAACAAGCAGACACAAGCACTGCTACACTGTACAACAAGCACTGCTACACTGTGCAACAAGCACTGCTACACTGTACAACAAGCACTGCTACACTGTGCAACAAGCACTGCTACACTGTACAACAAGCAGACACAAGCACTGCTACACTGTACAACAAGCACTGCTACACTGTGCAACAAGCACTGCTACACTGTACAACAAGCACTGCTACACTGTGCAACAAGCACTGCTACACTGTACAACAAGCACTGCTACACTGTGCAACAAGCACTGCTACACTGTACAACAAGCACTGCTACACTGTACAACAAGCAGACACAAGCACTGCTACACTGTACAACAAGCACTGCTACACTGTGCAACAAGCACTGCTACACTGTACAACAAGCACTGCTACACTGTACAACAAGCAGACACAAGCACTGCTACACTGTACAACAAGCACTGCTACACTGTGCAACAAGCACTGCTACACTGTACAACAAGCACTGCTACACTGTGCAACAAGCACTGCTACACTGTACAACAAGCACTGCTACACTGTACAACAAGCAGACACAAGCACTGCTACACTGTACAACAAGCACTGCTACACTGTGCAACAAGCACTGCTACACTGTACAACAAGCACTGCTACACTGTGCAACAAGCACTGCTACACTGTACAACAAGCACTGCTACACTGTACAACAAGCACTGCTACACTGTGCAACAAGCAGACACAAGCACTGCTACACTGTACAACAAGCACTGCTACACTGTGCAACAAGCACTGCTACACTGTGCAACAAGCACTGCTACACTGTACAACAAGCAGACACAAGCACTGCTACACTGTGCAACAAGCACTGCTACACTGTGCAACAAGCACTGCTACACTGTACAACAAGCACTGCTACACTGTGCAACAAGCACTGCTACACTGTACAACAAGCACTGCTACACTGTACAACAAGCAGACACAAGCACTGCTACACTGTACAACAAGCACTGCTACACTGTGCAACAAGCACTGCTACACTGTACAACAAGCACTGCTACACTGTGCAACAAGCACTGCTACACTGTACAACAAGCACTGCTACACTGTACAACAAGCAGACACAAGCACTGCTACACTGTGCAACAAGCACTGCTACACTGTGCAACAAGCACTGCTACACTGTACAACAAGCACTGCTACACTGTACAACAAGCACTGCTACACTGTACAACAAGCACTGCTACACTGTACACCAAGCAGACACAAGCACTGCTACACTGTACAACAAGCACTGCTACACTGTGCAACAAGCACTGCTACACTGTGCAACAAGCACTGCTACACTGTACAACAAGCACTGCTACACTGTGCAACAAGCACTGCTACACTGTGCAACAAGCACTGCTACACTGTGCAACAAGCACTGGTACACTGTGCAACAAGCACTGCTACACTGTGCAACAAGCACTGCTACACTGTACAACAAGCACTGCTACACTGTGCAACAAGCACTGCTACACTGTGCAACAAGCACTGCTACACTGTGCAACAAGCACTGCTACACTGTACAACAAGCACTGCTACACTGTACAACAAGCACTGCTACACTGTGCAACAAGCACTGCTACACTGTGCAACAAGCACTGCTACACTGTGCAACAAGCACTGCTACACTGTACAACAAGCACTGCTACACTGTGCAACAAGCACTGCTACACTGTGCAACAAGCACTGCTACACTGTGCAACAAGCACTGCTACACTGTGCAACAAGCACTGCTACACTGTGCAACAAGCACTGCTACACTGTGCAACAAGCACTGCTACACTGTGCAACAAGCACTGCTACACTGTGCAACAAGCACTGTGTGACGCAGCCAGCAGTGCTCTATAGACTATTAGCCTCCAGTAGCAGGATAATGGTCTGACCCATGACAGTTTGGTCCTGCACTTCCACATTAACCACTGCTATAGTGGTTAATGTACCCTATTGTTCTCCAGTTGGACTTGTTGGTCTCCAGTTGGACTTGTTGTTCTGCAGTTGGACTTGTTGTTCTCCAGTTGGACTTGTTGTTCTCCAGTTGGACTTGTTATTCTCCAGTTGGACTTGTTGTTCTGCAGTTGGACTTGTTGTTCTCCAGTTGGACTTGTTGTTCTCCAGTTGGACTTGTTATTCTCCAGTTGGACTTGTTGTTCTTCAGTTGGACTTGTTGTTCTCCAGTTGGACTTGTCATGATTGAAGTCCCCCATTGATTAGTGGCCCTAACCACACTACTTCCTCCCTGCTAGTTAGAAGATGCCTAGAATTGGTCTTTTTTCCATCTGTGAAAAAGTCTTTTAACAGATAAAAAAAGATATTATATATAAGTTAGTCATTTTTGTCATCACTAAGAAATGTGTTCTTGGTGGAGGCTCTTTAGTACTTTCTGAGGGACTATAGAAAATATTTTTTTTTTACTCTATTTTGGTTTTCCACAGCAAGCTGCTATCATGTGGGCAGACTGCTCCGCCTTCGTTATCGTCTTCACTTGTGGCTGTGTCATATAGCAAGCTGCTATCATGTGGGCAGACTGCTCCGCCTTCGTTATCGTCTTCACTTGTGGCTGTGTCATATAGCAAGCTGCTATCATGTGGGCAGACTGCTCCGCCTTCGTTATCGTCTTCACTTGTGGCTGTGTCATATAGCAAGCTGCTATCATGTGGGCAGACTGCTCCGCCTTCGTTATCGTCTTGCAATCTTGCAGACTAATTGTTTGCTCAGATTTCGCTCATGTGGTTCACTTCTGATCATTGTACTATATAATGAATATAAATTTACTTTAATACCTAAACAGAATGATTACAAAAGTTATTTTGATGAGTTACAAACTTCACTAATGAAGAGATTAACAATTATTCTCATATATTAACTAGAAAAACGATGATTAAGGGGAAACATGACTATCTTGAGATGATTTCGGGGCTTTAGTGTCCCCGCGGCCCGGTCCTCGATCAGGCCTCCACCCCCAGGAAGCAGCCCGTGACAGCTGACTAACACCCAGGTACCTATTTTACTGCTAGGTAACAAGGGCATAGGGTGAAAGAAATTTTGCCCATTGTTTTTCGCCGGCGCCTGGGATCGAACCCAGGACCACAGGATCACAAGTCCAGCGTGCTGTCCGCTCGGCTCCGACTAAAATATACAAATTAAGAAAAGGGTATAAAAAGTGGATATATTGAAGGTTTTCAAAACTTGTATATGCAAATTTAAACGCGAAACAATGGCTATAAATTGTATAAGTTTAGAGTCAAGAAAGACCTGGGTAAATACTGGCATGGCAACAGAATTCTTGATTTATGGAAGCAATTTCTGTGTAGCATTATGCACATGGGATCACTGGAGGGTTTCAAGCGTAGGTTAAACATATTTGCGAATGAGTTTGGGCGGCTATAAAGAGGAGAGCTGCCTCGTATGGGCCAATAGGCCTTCTGGGACTAAGAAAATCTTGATTTCCTTGAAACCAGACACAGTTTTCCCCATGGAAAGTACATTTAACAGATCCCTAATCCTCTCCATGGAGGACAGAAGAAAATGTACATATATACTGGTTAGCATTGTGAATGTCTGGCCACGTCTGTGGTAGAAAAAATAATACTAATTTAGAACTCTGAATTGGGGATTTGCTAATTGGCAGAAGTTCAGATAAATTAGCAAATGTTCATATGAATGTCAGGAAGGTAATGTTCTCCTGACAAGCGAACAGCTCCTGTGTTATAATTATATAAATAATGTACAAACTAATGAAGAAAGTTGTATAATGAATAAAGCGGTCAGACAATACTTTAAGTGACGGTGAGTAGTCAGGTGATCATCATAAACTCATCAAATAAAGTCAATTAGTTAGAGTAATGTATTTGTTAAGGTGGAGCTGTGTCCGGGGAGTCTTGGGGGGGGGGGGTGTACTCATCTAGTTGTGCTTGCGGTGGTTGAGCTCTGGCTCTTTGGTCCCGCCTCTCAACTGTCAATCAACAGGTGTACAGGTTCCTGAGCCTATTGGGCTCTATCATATCTACACTTGAAACTGTGTATGGAGTCAGCCTCCACCACATCACTGCCTAATGCATTCCATTTGTCAACTACTCTGACACTAAAAAAGTTCTTTCTGACGTCTCTGTGGCTCATCTGGGTACTCAGTTTCCACCTGTGTCCCCTTGTTCGTGTCCCACCCGTGCTGAAGAGTTTGTCTTTGTCTACCCTGTCAATTCCCCTGAGAATTTTGTAGGTGGTTATCATGTCTCCCCTTACTCTTCTGTTTTCCAGGGATGTGAGGTTCAGCTCCTTTAGCCATTCCTAAAGGGGTGTGTGTCCAGGGATCTGCGTTCGAGCCCCTGATATTGCCTCAGTGTTTTCTAATTACCTGTACACCAAACAGCCTCGTGCTGGATCCTGACACGCTTGTTGACGCATCTGAACCATCCCCTGAAGATCTGAACCGGTGCAGACAATAACGTTTCATACAGGTGTCAAATTTCCCGTCACAGCACCTTGACTGTATGTTGGTCCATAGTAAATGTGGACCTAGCTGAGAGAAGGGGAACCGGGCCTCTCATACATGGGCTCCAAGGGTAAGGCTGAAGGACTTATACACAAATGAACGTCGCAATTTCTACAATAAGGACAGGAATTATGACAGTAAAATAGGGATGATGAGTATAGGTAAATAGCAGCGGATCAAGGGGGGTTAAGAGCCACTGCGAAAAAAAGAACAATTATGCGCCATTTTAAAGATGGAGTCAGTATTGACATACTCAATATGTGGAAATTATGAAAATCTACTAGTCTATCTTTTCAATTAATCGTATCTATTTGTTTATCTATTTTTTATTTATATTTATATACAAGCTGGTGCATTGGGTTTATGAGAGTACAAAGCATTGATGTTTTTAAGGGCGACTGCTAAAAAAGGAACAATTATGTGCCATTTTAAAGATGGAGTCACTATTGACATACTCAATATGTGAAGATTTGGAAATTCTACTACTCTATCTTTTCAACTAATCATACCTATTTAATTATTTATTTTGTATTTATATTTATATACAAGATGGTGCATTGGGTTTATGAGAGTACAAAGAATTGATGTGTTTACATTTTTTTTTTTGAGATATATACAAGAGTTGTTACATTCTTGTAGAGCCACTAGTACGCGTAGCGTTTCGGGCAGGTCCTTAATCCTATGGTCCCTGGAATACGATCCCCGCCGCGAAGAATCGTTGTTACAACCAAGAACACATTTTTACTGTTTAAACAGAGGCTACAGTTAAGGATTTGCGCCCAGTAAATCCTCCCCGGCCAGGATACGAACCCATGACATAGCGCTCGCGGAACGCCAGGCGAGTGTCTTACCAATACACCACGGAGATTGATTCTTGTAAAGCCGCTGACACGCATAGTGTTTCGGGCAGGTCCTTAATCTAATAGATAATTTTAAGTAGGTAGCAAAATTTAAATCTAGCAAAATTTAAACAATTTTAACAGCTACATTGTAAGAAAATTTGACAATGATTAGTAGATACATTATATCATAATTTTAGGGTTATCAACAGGTACATTGTAGCATAATTTGAGGATTATTTCAAGGTATAATGCAGTATAATATGTGTTCACTATAACAAGCATGATATATGATGATAGCCATGATTACAATGGTGAAGTTGTATGGCTTAGGTACATATATTGGGGGAGCGGGTAGCACTAGATACAGTGTGAGTTTCAAGCACGAGGTAGGAAACTATGAAGATGAAATTAGGTACTTTTTGGGTTTATTTTTGAATAAGGCAAAAGTTGAACAGCTTTTCAACTCGTTAGGGGAGTGAATTCTATAGACCAGGTCCCTTTATTTACATAGAGTGTTTACACAGATCAAGCTTGACTCTGGGGGATATCAAAGAGATATTTATTTCTGGTATGGTGATTCTGTTCTGTTATATCTGTCTAAGGAGAGTTTCAGAACATGGTTTGCACTTAAGAGCAGAGTTTTGTAAATATAAATGGCAGAAGAGAATGTGTGGAGTGCGGTTAGGTTTAGCATGTTCAGGGGTTTAAACAAGAGTGGGAGACCACAGGGCGAACAACACTACAATCCAGGCATGTCAGAGCGGATATCATTAAAACTTTTAAAATACTGAACAATTTGGAGGATGTTGATCTAGACAATTTCTTCAAAAGGTCAGATGTAACACCAACAAGGAGCAATGGTTTCAGGGTCAACAAGCCACAATGTAGTACAGAAAACAGGACATGCTTTTTCACCCACAGGATTATAAACCCATGGAACCGCCTACCTGCTGAAGCCGGAAAGGCCAAAATTCTGTTAAATTTTACAATGCAACTGGAAAATATCATCAGAGCAGAGAGGGGAGACCTTTGACAAGTCGCCGGCTTCCTGTCCTCGTCGATACAACTAGTGTTAGTGGCCCTCAGTTAAACTCAGGTAATTCACATCGGATGAATGCTCCCAAACATTTATATATTCAGTGTCCAGGATGCTAAATTTAAAACCTATACATCAGTCAATTAAGAGTTGAGAGGCGGGACCCAAGAGCCGTAGTTAATCCCCCTAAAATACTAATATGTGGGTACAAATAGACGAGTACTGATAGGCAGAAGCACAGTCAGAACACGTGACACAAATCTCTATAAGTTATCCTTAAAAGTAAGGTTTTCATTATTTCATTTTCTTTAATGAAATAATAGGGTAGACATGTACAAATGATCAGTAACATCTTTCAAGCCTAATAATGCCCCACTTTCCTGTGTTAGACACTCATCCAGTCATCAAAATAATTGTCATTACTGACGTGAAGCGAATTTTTCTTCATTTAATACATAAAGTTGTGTCAGAGTGCAAGAATATTGAGTCCATTAGGCCGTTTCGTGATTGCATTCAACAACAGCACAGTTGATTGATCATTCTTTTCCTACCAGGCTTGCAGCCTTTCATAGGTTTAAAGATATTTTACAAGCCAAATTATACCATAAACGTACGAACTCAAACAACCCACCAACCCAACGCAACGAGGAGTCACAATAACGTAGCTGAAGTAAGTTGACCAGACCACACACTAGAAGGTGAAGGGACGACGACGTTTCGGTCCGTCCTGGACCATTCTCAAGTCCATTGTCTTGACTTGACCAATCGACTTGAGACTGGTCCAGGACGGACCGAAACGTCGTCGTCCCTTCACCTTCTAGTGTGGGGTCTGGTCGA